TATTACTCGTTGTATGAAGGAAATGTCCGGTCACAAAGGCGCATGATGTGTGTGTGTGTATGTGCTCTGCTCAGCTCCGCTGTGTACACACGGCATAACACCGCCCCCCCCCCTGTTGACAGTTCACGAGCGTGCTCTCTCATGAACTGTTCAGACCCGACGAGTAATAAGGAATTATGACGGATATTTTACGATCCTGTCTGTCAAAATGACGGACAGCGAAAAAGTCTAACGCCACCTCAGTGGGACGGAGAGATATGCTTTGGCCATGGGTGACAGCGGTGGGTCAAACTGTGCATTGTCTCTCCACCAAGAAGGTGAGGCTTATTGACAGGGCGAGATATATATTGTTGGTACTTGTCAATGTCTCTAGGTGTGTAAATGTAGCCCTGTAAATACGATGTCCTTTTGTGTTATCTGTTGTTTTATGTTCATGTTGTAACCTACTTGCTGCCATGTTGGACAGGTCTCTCTTGAAAAAGAGATCGATGATCTCAATGGAACCACCTGGTTAAATAAAGGTTTAAAAAAAAAACGATTTTTAAATCGCGGTAGATTTTGTCAGTCTCACGACGGTATTGGGACGTTTATTTACCGCGATACCGCGATATTCGGTATATCGTTATATCCCTAATAGATATCCATCACCTAAGTCACCTCTCTAAAAACATGCTTACTGTATGTGAATCACATGTAGTATTGGGCAAATATAATGCAGTACAAGTACTAAACATTTGTTCTACATGCTGGGGTCCCTAACCAGTGTCAGAACTGCACAAACATGTGTTCCATGTAACTTAGTTGTGTCATTTTGAAGGTGTTTGTGACCTTTCTTATTTAGGATTGGTATCTTACACTTCTAGCATAATGTTCTGAGCTCTTATGCACATTTTATTTAAATTATTAAATCATATTTTTACCAATGTATGACCAGAACACTTTGACATTACAATGCCGATCGTCATCCTAAATGAATCTTTATCTTCCCAGGTTTCCGATGATGCATGCCAGTATTATGTGGCATATAGTGTAAACCTAAAGATCCCCTGCTCCCCATCAGAAAGACAAATACAGGACTATGGAGGTTGGGGAGTGAGAGGATAGCCAGTGAATATTGTAGTGTTTTGCTTGTAATAGTACTTATTGTTAGCATCTGGTTGATTTCTTGAGTTGAATCAAATGTATGAGAGCAGGCTGTCTGATGCCGCTGTGTTGGTTTTCAGTTGGAATGGAATATGAAGCTGTGGTGGCCCCACTGTGAGGCCCTCATCGCCTTCCTGATGGCCTACAGTCACACCAGGGAGCCCGCACTCCTGCACAGGTTCTCTGAAGTCTTTGAATACACCTTCAAGCATGTGAGTTCACACTGCAGCCAAAGTATTAAACACCAGAGGTCAGAGTACTTTCGGGTTGTATCATGGTACATTAACTTATTAGAGGGCTAAAATAAAATAATAATGAATGTCAGCTAAAGAAATGTGATTCTGTAACAGACCCAAGACATCATTCTTCTTTGTTTGTGGTTCAATACTCAACGTATGCGCCTTTTCTGTGATACACACAGTACACAGTAGCAGTTGGGCAGTGTCAGTTGTGTAATTTGAAGGTTAACATTTACAGAAAAGGAATGCCAGTAATGTAAATAAATAACTTTACATCCAAAGACCATATATACTTTATTTGGAGGACTCAAGACAGATTTGCAGTGTTTTAAATAAAACCGATATATTTGTATGATCCGCTGATAAACTATATGTGTGCCTGATTCTGGACAGTTTCCTGATGCTCAGAAAGGCGAGTGGTTCGGCTATTTGACACAAGAAGGGAAAGTGGCACTGGATTTTAAAGGAGGCCCCTTTAAAGGTAAGAACATCATTTATGTTTAAAACAGAAGTAAATACAACTGAAAGCGTTAGGGGTCATTTTCAGACTTTTTATTTCATTATAGTGTACAGTAATCGGTGCCATTTCATTTATACTGTAATATCACAGTACACTACACTTCCCGCTCCCTCCGCACATGCCCACACGGGCGAAACCAAAAAAAAATGCTTATCAATATAACTTAAACAGAGCCATGAAAATAAACATAAAACATTTTCAGACTTTAACGTTTTTAGGAATACTGCATATGTGGAGTATGAGCTCCAGATGTTATCCTGGCAGCTATTTTCTAATTAAGTCTCCATCCTTGATAGTTTGTATCATATTATCAACCTCATTCTTTGAGTTGACAAAAAAGTCAGTCTTTATTCGTCTATTTTTTATACCACATGTTAATGCACTTCCGTGATGCATACAGTATTACCACGCACATAATCACAAACTCATTTCCAGTGAACGTTTCCTGCTTTGTCTGTTAATTAAGATAATGTTTCTCCTCTCCTCTCTAGGGTTCTTCCATGTGCCTCGCTGCCTGTACATGTGTGAGCGTATTCTGGATGATATGCTGGCAAACAAGGACTGAGCATTTTGACACGATTGTTCACAAAAAAACAAACAATCAGGTTACGAAGCAAATTGTACTCATTTTCAAATATGCTTTGCTGTAAAGTTAGTTGTTGATCTCATTGAAAACATGCTGGCACAGAGCAGCTCATAGTGTTTATATTAAAGGTATAAGAAATATTACTTTATAAAACAATAGTGTTCTTTATATTATTTCTAGCCCCAGTGGCAGTTTGATTTGGCATTAATGTGAGATACTTTCTGTAAGATGTTTTTGATCTTACTTTGCGCCTACATGACTCTCCCCTGCAGGGAATGAGAAGATCTCCTACCATTTGAGGGACTTAAATGTCCAAATTACAGAAGACAATGGTCCAGGTAGCCTTTGATGATTGGCAGGGTTTACACTCCATAGACGCATTCACACCGCAGGACTTTCCCTGGTACTTTGGTTCTTTAGTTCCGTTAGTACCAATAATGTCGCGTTCACACCGCCGGGACTACTCAGTGCCGGGGACTACTCAGTGCCGGGAACTACTCAGTGCGGGGAACTCTTTTGGCCATTTTCAGTCCCTGCTAGAGAGGTGGTACGAACCTGGTGATAAAAGAGTGCCAATTTATATTCTATTTCTATTGGCTGGGCGAATTGCAAACCACGCCCCGTTAGACTCTCATCCACACCTGAGCGAGTAATTTTTTTGTACTTTACAGCAGTTATGACCACACGTACTACAACACCGGAGCGGTGGAATGATGAGGAAGTGTCGGCGCTTCTGGCAATTTACTCTGAGGACGGGATGCAGCAGCTTCTACAGAAAGCAGTTCCCAACTCCAAATGTTTTGAGCGATGTTCGCAAAAGCTACTTGAGCGGCGTGATGCCGTTATTGTTATGTCTTGATTGTGCAATAAAATAAACAAACTGGCGAAGCTTTATTTATTGTGTCCCACCCCAAATTTGCAGAATAGAAGAATGTGAGAGCAGACAGGTGTAGGTGGTTGAATTTATCTACAATGTTGCAACCTTGTGCAGCAATGGCAGGGGCAGAAACAGTCTTACACACATAAACACAAGTAATTTATCATGTCATTTGTTTTAGATAAATAAGGGAAAAACACCAAACAACGGTTAATGTCCTTTTCCAAAATCAGCCTGAGGGGGTAATATATAATAAATACATAAAGATAAAGTCCATTGTTATAATGGGGTATTTTAAATTTGTAAATTACCCTTATAACCTAGCCTCATGGTGTACATGATTCTTTGCTTGGACATTTTGTTGGTTTGAGTCATTTGAGCTCGGATTCTAGTAGGGACATAAAGTAACACGTATTTTAGGAAGATATGAACTTCATCTTGGTGAAGTTGATGCTGAATTCACTATTTAGCAGATAATCATGTGACACTTTATCTTTGCACTACGGTCTGTCTGCTGAGCCTACCTATTATATATATATATATATATATATATATATATATATATATATATATACGTACAGCGGGTGGGCTGATACCCCCTCCCCCGTGTAGTTCTTCTTCTCTCGTTTTTTTTTGTACTCGCCGTGAAGTGGTTTTGCGGCCTGCCAGTAAACCCAGAGAAGAAGAAGACGAAGTGACGTCAGCGTAATCTTGCCTCAGGGAAAGTACTGCGGTGTGAATGCGATTGGCACTAGCCCTCTGGCGGATTCAGTGCCGTGGTACTTTAGTGCCGGCACTAAAGTAGGCCTACGGCAAGTCCTGCGGTGTGAAAGCGGCTAATCACACACAGTCTGCACATTGAGAAAGAGAAACCTACAAACACTCCTGTCCTCCCTGATCATGCTGTATACCAAACATGATCATCAAAAATGTGTTTATATGTCAAAATGTGTCTTACAAATGCAGCATACTAAATGTTTAAACCAGCTTTGAACACCTTTTTATGGAACTTGTATAATATATCCATTCAAGTTATTACATCTAGTTTAACAACCAAGCTAGAAATAAATGGATGGCTTTTTTATCTTAGTGAAGCATAACGTTTGTTGGAAAAATATTTAAGCTACTGTAGCTTTATGCTAATGATATGCTTCTGTAGACAGGCTAATAAATGTAACATTTTGTATCTAAATATTATAAAATAAATGTGAAATACCTAAATGAGGTCGTTGGATTCATTTGTAACCAGATAATTTATATAGGCTATACGGCAGGTAATCAAAGAACATTTTATCGAGCCTGGAATCCTAGATAAATTACATTTTAAAGTAAGAGAGTGATCTACCATCGTAAACATAGCATGAGAGTTCTTTTTTAATCAATTTGTAAAGTTGCTAAGGCTAAATTGCGAGCTAACTGCTGTTTATTTACCAGAGATGGGAAGTAACTAAGTACATGTACTGTACTTAAAAGGTAGGGTAGGTAATTCACTTCAGAAACACTTGTCATATTCCATGGAATGCTCTTAACATCCCGATAGCAATGAATACATTAAATGCTTTGACAAAAAATCCATTAAATAATGTAATCTGTGGAAGCCGTAGTACTGTAAAAAGCACAACCAATCATCTGAGCCGGCCTGGCTAAAATAA